AATATGTTGCCCGCTCTTCGAGCGCGTACAAACTTGACACGCATTATCAATCAACTATTGGCTGCTCGTCGTCAACAAGACGCATTTCGTGTTCCTTCACAAAATTCATCAGCTGTATCCGTACTTACAGATGAACAACGTGCACACAATCTTAAAATCTGGCCTGGTAAATAATTTTGTATTAATATTTAAACTGACCATATATCTGTATTTTAATATTAAGTGAATAAAAATTGAACTAGACTGAGATGATGACGTACATGTACTAGGAAAAAGAGAGATAATGAAAATCAAAGGTATATTTTTTTTCTACATTCGAATGTATAGTATGATATTACTGAAATAGATTAGTTAACCCTTTATACCCTGAAGCGGTTCCAGAAGAGCCACTGATAAAATTACCATAAAAATAGAGTATTGGTCTCCCCAATATACCAATGGTATAGGCAGATCGATCAGACGCACTACCTTTTGTGCAGGGGAATTTGATTACGACAGTGGCCATTGAGATAGAGAAGGGAATGGAACAACTTTAAAAGCCCTACTTCTTTTCTTGTTTATGACGGTGTTAATTAGGCCAATGTGTCTTCTATTCCTTTCTATTAGACTCAAATCCAAAACGAAAAACTACGAATATAAAAAGCGATTTTTAAACACCATATGTATTTTTGACAGAGGTTTTTTAAAAATACATATTTTTCTTTAAGTAATTATATCATCAATGAAGACATTTAATCGATGATATATATTTTTTTCGATTGCTACTCTGATAAGATTTACAAATAATATATTCATGGTATCCGCTATCTCTCTCTTTCTGTTCAATAGTCGTTTCAGGATCCATCTGGTATCTTATCATTTCGTATCTGCCAAGCCATTGTGAAATTTTTGAAACGCATTTAGTTAAATAGTAGACACTTTTATCGATATATACGACACAACGCAGCCTCGAAATCTTTATTGCGTGTGAGTGAAAAACCGTTTTGTTTTTAAAATTTTGTTATTTTTAAATTCTTTCAAAATCGATAATTTTGAAAGCTATATATCTCGGAGATAGAGTAACGAAACAAAATATTTTTTTTACCAATCGATAGCTTATGGAGTTCTGTAACAATATTGTTTTGGGAGTTTTCAATACCATACTTCCTGTATTTTCTGCAAAACTTTGTATGAATGGGTCAAAAATGACCCAACAGGGTATAAAGGGTTAAGTTTTCATTGTCTATTTTATTTAGACTAATGTTGAGTTTCAATATTTCGGTATCTATTCGAAAGAAATAGAAAAACATAAATGATTGATAAACTAGTACGGTTGAGTTTCTTTTAAGAAACTCTGTTTCTGATTATAAGATTTTAAGAATGTACTGTCTTTTTTTGTCTCTTTCATTATGCGCGTTATCTTGGATAAAAATAGTTGAAGATATTTAACTGACCTTTGCCAGTGTTGGTAAGAAGTCATTTTTTCCAATGTTATATTGTCAAGTCTTGAAAGAAAATTTTTTAGGAAATGTGCAAATTAGTTTAAATCTATTGAATACATGACATTCAACAAAGAAAGGTTGAGAGGTTTCTTTTTAACTTAACAAATATTTTGTTTAAAGAACTTTTTTCTATATGTAGATTTATAGAAAAAAAAAGTGAAGCTATTTTTTTTTCGTAAAACTTTAGGTGTTCCGGAACGCGTTCGACCGGTACCAATTGATTATTGTCCAATTGATCCGGTTGAACTTGATAAAATAACTGATCATTTCAGTTCACAAGTTAACATGTGGAAATGGATATCATTATTAGTTGCTATACCAGCTATTGCTTTATTAACATACATTAATGTGATTCTACCACAAGACCATCAACGTCCAGAATATAAAGATTGGGATCATTTACGACCACGAATGAGATGGCCAATTAAGGATGGAATACATTCACCATTTCATAGTAAATGGTTCAATGCAGTCCATTTTGATAATATAGGTTATGAGACAAGCGATGCACAATTTGAAAAACACTTTCATCATGGTCATGGAGGCAAACACTAGACTTATGAACAACAAAATAATTTTTTCTCTCATGTCATCCTTTTTTTTTCTTTGTTCTTGTACTGTTCATTATTCGATCTAACCAAACGTCCTATAGTATACCTATAAAATAACATTTTTCTTTCCTTTGATCTTCCCTATATGGAATTGTATCTTTTAGATGGAAACATGTTTATTGGATTTACCAAATGAATTAATTGAAATAATTATTTTATATATTATTGGTCGACCATGGAAAGATGATGTACGTGATTTTCTGTCATTTACATCAACTTGTCAATATTTGCGACGATTTGCTCAAGATAAAAGATATTGGCAAATAATGGCCTTACGTCGTGATCCAACATGTGAAAACTCGTCGGAGACAACACAGTGGTTCGAACATTGTAAACAAGGTAAAGTTTAAGAAAAAATAATTTAGATTTATTTATTTTTCTTATTTTGAAAAATCAGTCTATTGTCAACGAACGATACCCGGTGACGAACTCAAAGAACGTATAAGCCGATATAATGATAATTATTTTTGTAGAATAGAAAAAGTTTTTATTTGGCCAAGTAAAATTCGTGTATATATTGATGAACGTGGCGATGAATCTCTTGGTTAGTAGATTTTATAATTGTATTAACATATGTCCTTCTAATAAATTAAAGCATTTTGTACGAGTAGCTCTTCAATGCATCTTGTGAATTACATTTTCTTTCTTTTTGTATTAACTGTTGTCTATTAAATTAGCATGATTTCTTACAATTAATAAAAGAACAACTTTGTTTCTTTTTATTAAATAGGGAATATTCAAGATCCAACACATTCAATTATAACACTTGTTGAAAACAATTTTCCAATTTATAGTCGACCAATTGGTATTAGAACTAATCATAGTAAATTTTCGATTGCAGATGAACGGTCTGAATATTTAGGTAAACAAGATTTTGTTTATTTATTTATTTTTTCTAGTTTCATATTTATTTTATTTTGTCTTAGGTTATTTGGATTTTCCATACAGCATTTCATTAAGTAACATTGGAAAAAATCTCATTTTTCAATATGGTACTGCAGGTTATTCTAATGCAATACTTTTCCATGTTGATCGAACATTTATTAACAAATATAATCTCATACCTTTATTTAGAAAATTTGAAAGAAAACCAAAATATTCTATATTATCTAGAAAAAACAGTATCTGAATACGAAAAATAATCGCTATATTTTTTTTTTATAAATATTTTGACAGAATGTAGTTTTGATTTAATGAAACAAGAAAAATAAGAAAAGAAAAATGAGATGCTCTAAAGCTTTTGTTTTATTCTCCTATTTTTGATTCGTTCTTTTTCCTATCATATTTTTCTATTTCTATCGTAGAATTGCTTTCTCTTTTTTTTTCTTGTTAATTTCTAAACATTCCTCGTCTCGTTATGATCACCTAGTGAGATGATGAGATAAACTTTGGCCTTTCTAGCTTTTATTTCATTTTTTTTTTATATGCGATTTTAAATAAGTATAAAAGAGTACGTTACTCTTTTTTCTTTTCCATACGCAGTTGGAAAGATGATGCGCGTAGGCGTTTATTTGCTCAGACCGTGATTACTCTCAAAGACATGAATGAAAGCGTGTACACATAGACAGATATATATTTGTTGTTATCATTCGTTTATTTTCTTTCAATTGCTTCTTTTTTTTTATTTTCAGAGACTAAAATCCAATATTGTTTCCTAATTTCGAATCAACTTTTCGTTATTAGAAAACGAAAAACAAAAAAAAAGAAAAAGAGAAACGTAGATAAGTTCATTGAAAATAAAATAATATGAAAGTCTATGCATTGTTATCATGATCATGCACTGTAAATGACTCTTACACTCATAAGAGTTTTTAGATATATTTTTTTTTATCTTTCTTATTTTCGTTCTTTTAGATTATGCTAGACTCTACACAGAAAAGCTTTTCGAACAACCGTTCTTCCGTTTTGTCGTCCGTCAAGAGTCGCAGAAAAACGCGCTCTTCTTATTTTTCTCTTCAAATTTCCTCCATTTCTTTATCAAACAATACTTTATATAACAAACAATTTTTCTCTATTCCAAATACCTGTCCAACTGGACAATTATTATCAATCATGAGTGAAAAACAATCTTATTTATTCAATTAGCAAAATTAACGAACAAAGAAAAAAAACCAAGTTTCATTAGACAAAACACAACACATACATATTTAAATTTATAAAGTTTTCTGTTTTATTTTATTTTTTATTATCAACAAAGCATTCCAAAGAAAGAAAAACAAATAACATGGCAGCCAATGATGATCTTGATGATTTCTTTAAAAAGAAAGATCGAAAAGGTAATAAAAATAAAAAACCAACTGGTATATTAACAAATAATGAAGAATTACTTAAACAATTAGGTATAAAAAACACTATAAACATAAGATTAATAAAAAAAAGAAAGAAATTTGTATTTATTTTTAGTCATTGTTACATCAGCTACATCAGCATTTAAAGAAAATATGGATTTCGATGAAGAAGAAGAAGAAGATACTGGTATTAATAATCAAAATCGTCGTCAATTAAATAATGAATCAAATGGTATTATGAAAGTTTATGACGATAATAATACAGTTATTAACAAAACTCAACCATATTCAACATCGATTAATAATAAAAATAAAAATTCAACTAAATTAACGGTACAAGATAATCATAATAATATTAATGAACAACAAACTGGTATTGGACAACAAGATGAATGGGAAGAATTTGAAAATTCAAATCCAAAATATGATCAATTACGTTTAAAATTTTCACGTGGTACGAATGATCATAATAATTGCAATGAAGACGAAGATGATGATTATTATGATGATGGTCATCATACAAATAATCATGATTCAAATATTGATGATAATACAAATAATATTGTTGGTGATAATAATGAACAATCATCACGTAATAATAATCGACGTCGTGAACAACAAAAAGATAAGCCTGTTTGGAAATTAGATCAAGTTAAACAAATTGAACCAATACAAACAAATGAAACAGTTGATTCAAAAGTAGATAAAGTTGCTGAATTACCATCGAAACCTGCAACAACAACAACAACAACAACAACATCGGAAGTTTATCGACCACCTCAATTACGTGGTCACTCATCAGTTACTATTGTTAGTGGTTTTAATCAACGAACATCGAAAAAAGAAAAACCAAATTTAGCTTCAACTGAAGAATTTCCAACACTTGGAGCAACTATTAAGAAAAAATAACCATCGAACAGTTATCCTTGTCTCTACTTCCCATTGGTTTTATCTCTTTCATGCTTCAGTATTTGTGCATCCTATTCATCGCTTTATTCCTTTACCTTTTTCCCTTTGATTAATCCTGCTTCTCTCTTTTTTTTCTCGTGTGTGTGGTCATCGTTGATATGTTTTGTTTCTTTTTTTTTTCATTTTTTCTTGTTCGTTTACTTTTCATTTTTCATTCGCTTGTTTTCTGTGTCTCTATTTCATTTGTCTCCCTTACTCTTCTTTTTTGTCCCTTAGATTTCTATGCTCTTTTTCTTTTTTCATTCTGTTTTCTTTCGTTATACAAGAAAAAAAAATCTTGTCTCTCTCTATCGCTCTGAGTTCGGTTTAAAGAAAAAAGAATACATTAACAGAAAAAATTATTAGAAGCATAATTTCATTTTTTGTCTCATAATGAAGATTTATATATAGCTTCGAATCAAAAAATAGAAGAAAAATAGTTTCTTATTCTTTGATGAGTCAATATTTTATCAATTTGATAAAAGATAACAATATGGAAAGTTGTTATTACTTTTCTTTTTCTACAATTAAAATAAAACAAAAATGCATTTGTTGTCAGTCATATTTATATGTTTCATGAACAGTAAGTTATTATATTATTTATTCCAACTAACAAAAATCTCTCAGATAGAGGTAAGATACAATTTTTATAATCTTGTGAACATATGAGTAATAGTTGAAATAAAACTGACTCATAAATTATCCATTTTATGATATTACCATATAATAACGAGACGAAAGCAACCGACTAGCAAATATTGAACTTTTTAGAGACGTCTAATATATCACTTGACATAGAATAATATTTATGAATATTGAATTATGGTATATATAGGTTAAAAATCTATGCAGAGAAATAAATAAGGAGTTTATCTAAATATTAAATTCGATGGTTTTCAAAGTAGAATATATTTGAATATTCAAATTTTAAATAAATAACATTGAATATTATTTTTTTTATTCAGGCATAGTCTTGTGTATTAATTTGAATAAATTTTCATCATTTGATATTTCTTCATCATCGAGATCGAATTTATCTATTGTTTTAACATCAGAATCAACAAGTTTATCTTCAACAAAAATATCGTCAAAACATAGTAGCAGTACAACTTTTCGTCCATATTATCCCGATACATTTAGTCCAGGATCAATCGCTGGAATTATTATCGCTTCACTTGTGTTTATTATCATAGTTTCAATTAGTGGATTTTATATTCGTCGTCGACAACTTTATTATTTACCATATTATAACACTTATCGTTCTTAACTATTTTATTTAATTTTTTTTTCTTACGTTTTATTGAATACATTACTTCGTACAGTATATAATTTATCGGCTCTTTTGAACATCGAGTCTATTGTTGAAAAACAATAGTATTATATTTATTATTAGTTACAATCATTAAAAATAATATTTTCCATAACAGTGTTCTTGTTCTTGAATAATATTTTATCTTGATTAATATATAAACATGGCTAAATCATGCTGTACTATCAGATTGATGACTCAACATATTTTTTAATAAAAGTTGGAAGTGTAAATATTTAAATCAATAAAAACTACCTTTTTCTAAAAAAAAACGAAAAAATTTCATAATAAGATTATATTTCAAGAGAAAGATAGAATTCGTTGCATAAAAAAATTCATCACATTACGATGAATGAGATATCCTATTTATCTTTTCTTTTATTACTTTTCTGTTCGTTTTTTTTGCTTTTTTACGTTGTGCGTAAGTATTCTTGTGTTGTTTTTACGATTAGAAAAGAGTGATTCGATTACATTTTTTGTTCCCCGTCTGTCTTATTTATTAACTATTTGCGACAAAACAAAACAATAATCGTTGGACACATGTCAGTAATTATTTTTTCATCAACACATTTATTCTTGACGACAATTTTCATACAAACACTAGCATGTGCTGTACCGACTAATCTACAAAATCTCGAACTCACTGATGTCACATCACTATGGAATCAATTTCCATCTATTATTGACAAAATCGATGAGAGTGGTATGTCGTTTAGATACGGATTTTATCATAGATATTCGAGAAGAGTATAGCTATGGGTTTTTTTAGCAAGAAGTCAATAAAATATATCTAAGCCATAAAATCTTATAATTTTATGGGAATAAATAATGTGTTTTACGAATGGAGTGAAACCATAAAATTTTCCCATTAACATTTTGTTTGCCTATGACACGAATTAATAAAAATTTATTTTTCGAAATTGATATTGTATGCATAAAAATATATCTTGTTAAAAATCATGTTTTTATATAGAGAATAGTTTGATTTAACGGCTAATTTCGAATAAATGATGATTTCAATATTTCTTTAACAGCAGATGGTGAGAAAGTTTCTGGACAACATGTTCTTTCATTTGTCGATCAGTTATGAAAGTCAGCAGGAAATTTAAAGCATCGGATTAGAATCAGAATTTTATGGTCTTTCAGAATATATGGGTTGTATACATCATCGTTGAATCTCTCGCCTAAACGAATATTACCATAAAGGACGATGGCTGAAACTAATATTATCGAAATAGAGATTGTCGATAAAAATTTCATCGAAATGAAGATCATCGAATACCTTGCGACCATCTATGTTTGTGAGCTTCGTCTCGTTGATATAACTCTAAGCCATCAATCCTTCAGTTCACTCTTTCAGAACATATATCATATAGATACATGCATATATATAGCACCTAATCAATTGTGATGTGCTGATCATAAATTACGACCTGATTTTTCTTAATCACTAACTTGACTCAGACGCTCGATCACGTTAGTCACTAACTTGACTCAGACACTCGATCAAATTAGTCACTGCCTTGATTCAAACACCAGATCATGTAAGTGATTAACTTGATGAAGTTAGTCACTAACTTAACTTGGACACCAACTTAAGTTAGTGATTAACGCTACTTGATCCCTAACTTAGCTTAGGAACTTTTTGAATCACTCACTGAATTTAGTTCTTTACATGACACATCATTGTAATTACTAAGTACAATAAGTATCAATAGTCATAATAACCAAAGGTTTCTAATACTACAAATATTATCTGAGGTTATCGCCGATAGTCACGTCGTTGACAATGACATCGCCGAAATGCAATTCACCGAATTTCGACTATCTACATTTCGGCGATGGGAATACTGACAAATCTATGCTCGGAATTTTATATGAGACTCATAGGTTAGAAATTATAAGCAAATCTTTGAGAATCTTGAGAATAAAGTTTGAATAAGTTCCAGTGGGCAAAAAAGCCATCTGAAGTGGAAGTAAAATTTATTACAAATACATTAAAAGAAAGAGCAACCATTTCGAAACAAACTGATATCATAGTTATTAATTCTCTATGACAATTCTGTCAATAATAAGACTTTTAGTAGAAGAAACATTGACATCTTCGAACTTTCTTAGTTTCTGGACTTATAAAATCAGCTTGATTATTTCTGAAGAGTTACTGTGAGACTTTTAGCTCTTAGGTCACTTTGTAGAGGACTCTCTTTAGCTCTTTAGGCTATGCAAAAAAAGATTGCTCATCAAAGGTATTCAGTAAAGGCATTATTACTGTAAAGGACGTGTATTGACTAGATACCGGAGATGTCCATCGCGGTTGAAGATCTGATTCACCATGGTATTGATTGTTGGACTTGTAGACACTTAAGTCGAGTACCAGTTCGTACAATTTTACAATCTTCCTAAAAAGAAACTGCCACTGACGTCATCATGTGGCAGCGCCGCCCTACACATCTCTACTAGATGATGACCCAAGAAATTCCAAAACATGATGCAGTCAAGGAAAAGACAGTGGGACTAAGCTAAATTGCGCGCCTTTATGATGAGAATAAGAAAGTGTCGAGAAAAATAGCACACGCTTTGTTTCAAACGGAGAACGATCAGATTTGTCATTTCTAGATCTGTTAGTTCAATTGTTTCTGTCTAGATTTTATTTTCGGACCTACTAAAAATTTACTAATAATTTCTAACCTATGAGTCTCACACAAATCACTCAAATATATTCGAAAGGAGTACAAAATTTTGATTCTATTATAATGCTTGAAATTTTCTGTTGACTCTCGCAATCGGTTGAAAAATAAAACGACACTTTGTCCAGGGACTTTCGCACTACCCGTTATTTCTGTTTATTGTCCTAGCTTCGAACTGAGATTTTTCTCAAACGATTGATCGTGCAATTCTAATCAACAACTTTCAAGTATAAAGTATAGCCTTCGTGCTCACGCATTCTCGTTTTGTCTTATAGTGATAAAGTTACTTATTTAGTTGAATTTTCAAAAGTGCTTTCTTTTTTTTTTTTTGGAGTAAACAAACTTCCAAAGGAGAAGTCTTCCGAGGAAAAGAACCGTAATTTTTCAGCACAAAAGCTTTATTGGTTAAAACTCTATTGAATCACATTGTGAAGTTTGAATTTAATTCTAAATGAATGATACTTCATATCGACTAAGTTCACATGTGAAACTCAACTATGTCAAAGACAAACCAATATCTACAAAATTCGATGCTCTTACTTTTATAACAGTATTGCTATTTGAAAGCTTTCAAATATTGTTTTACCCATAGAAAAAACAATGAAAATTAATTTAGGAAAAAATACCTTCAAAGTCAGTTCTTTTAGAGGAAAAAAAAGTAACTTGATCCTTTCGAAATGTAACTTTAGAATTATGAAATTATAGTAAGGATTGAATTTCTTCACTGGAAACTACCTATAACAGACGTGTACTATTCAAGTATTTTTTAACTTTGTTTTCTAGTTAATCGATTTCGTTGTCCAAAAGGATGGAAACGTTTAGGTGGTTCATGTTATTATCTTTCTAATTTAACATCAATATCTAGTGCTGCTAATCATACATGTAATTATCTTCATTCTAATCTTTCAAATCTCATACGAATACAAAATACAGTGGAATTAGCCTATGCTGCTCATGTTTTAACAAGAAATAATTTGTCATCATTGATGCTTTCTCTTGATCCAAAATTACTGAAAGGTAAGAAAATTATTTTTCTAAGCATGAATTTAAAAGAAAACGAAACTTTCTTTTTAGGAAAAAATCTTGTAGAAATGTTAACAAATGATCAAGATCAATGGAATAGAATGAAACAAAAATTTCATAAAGTACGTATCAAATATCTTAATTTAACAACAAAAATCGTCGATCGATTAAAATCAATTAATTTACGTCTGTTGAAACGCTCAAGAGAAATAAAACAATCATTTGAAAAATATAATAAACCACAGAAAACACCAATAAATGTTAGTTTAGTTATTAATGATAATGATGAATATGAATATGATGATCTTGATTTATCAGATGAAAGTGATGAATTTGAACAAATCGAAAATATACGTAGAATTTGTGATCAAATTGCTTGGAATGCTTTAGCTGATAATTCAACTGTTTATATTCTAACAACATATATTGTATCAGATAAAATTGTTTGTTCATTAAGTGATGTTGAACCTGATATTGAATATCATCATATTTGTGAATATGGTTTGTAATTTTAATATTAAATAAATCAAATAGAATAATTTTCTTTGTAATATATAGTACTTGATTTTTGTTTTGCAAATATTATTTGTGGTAAACATGGACATTGTGTTAATACAGTATCAGGTTTCAAATGTTCTTGTTCATTTTTATATGATGGTCTTCTTTGTGAAACAAGTATGTAACAATAGAAGAATTTATTTTTCTTGAAAATGCTTCATTAAGATTTTGTTTTGTTTTAATTAAAATCATAGGAGGTCAACTTAAGTTTTTTCTTTATTAATAAATAGTTAAAACATCGGAAAATGTATAGCTAAAAATCGAGTATTCAATATTCGAAAGAATTTTATTTTGTAATATTTATCAATCTATATTAATCTTATGTCATTTAAATAGTTCTTTAATAGAAGATCACATCAAGGTTGAGATAAAGATAGATTTGAATGTCGATAGAATAAGTTTCGTTCTATGAAATTAATCCATTTGCATCTCATTTGTCAACAAAAGAATTGTCAATAGCAAAAAATGATACAGATAGGACACAATGTACGAGCTTCTCGTAATTAGAACCAGAAATTAACCTTTTCATTACGATATCTCGAAGAGGAATTCTACTGTCATGGTTCGTTATATTGATCAATTCATAATGATGTCCAATTTTTTTTACAAATAGACACTATTAGCAAATAAGTGCAGAAAATCAGGTTTTTTATTAAAAAAAGTAATCTTAATTACAAAGAAATGTTTTTTTTACTCAAAAATCAGGTTTTTAGGTGCTCAAATCCGCTGGATTTCTGAAAAAAAAGATTTTTTGAAAACTCATATCCTTCTATTACGTCCTGTGAAATGTTTCTTGCAGATGTCCTTCTATTCTAGTAGGGTCACATGGATATGGGTGTGAATGAAAAAAAGATCCCGATCAACACTCACACCCATATCCACTAGGAAACTACGAATCGTTCCAGATCCAAGCCCTGCCGGATCAAGATTGACAAAAACATGGACTCACTACTCTCTAATGCCGACATCTACACCTGTGAGCAAATGTATTAGCAAGCAAATGTCCTAGCGAGTAACTGTCCAGATCCCATAGGAAAATGTCTTTAGTGGTATTGAGATTTTGTTTTCAGCTAAACGTCTGCCTGTAAAAGATGAGTTCACAATATTAAAAGACCCTCCTTGTGAGGAACGATGTGCCGGATGTGGCAGGAGACTGTACGTAATTAGTTAATTTATCACAAAATCGAAGCTTTAATTACAGCAGTATTTTTACATCAAAATATGGCTAGTTTTCAGGGTGTTGCGCTGAAAATCTTAAACGACTGACGAGGGAACTATCCGAGCTGTTATAAACCTTTCGGCTGGGGATGTGATGGTTAGATAGGGCACAGTTAGGAGTGATATATCCTGAGTTAGTTCGTCTCCAAGTACCTTCTAGCAGAAGTTATGAATTTTTCAAGTCATGAGCAAAATGTGCATTTTGTCTCCAAATCTTACGAGGGAAGTACCCAAACTGATTAACCGTTTTTGAGTTCGAACTCTGTGCATAAGGTAAACTCCAATGAGACATGAAAAATCTCAGAAGTATAAGGATTTATAGACCTTCCCTCTAGAGTTATAGTCATCTTACTGGAATTTCAGTTTGTAGCACGATACATACTAATAAATAGAATGACCGTATTTCGATCTGAAATTTTGCCTACCAATAGGTCTACTTGTAATTAAAATGCTCCGAAATTTTCAGCTAAAAGAAATGTTTCCTTCACGAGACATTGAATTCCCAAAAACACATGAGACTCCCGCATCTTTCACGGAATATGAGTGATTTGTGAAAATTCACTATCTCGTGAAGGAAACATTTCTTTTAGCTGAAAATTTCGGAACATTTTAATTACAAGTAGACCTATTGGTAGGCAAAATTTCAGATCGAAATACGGTCATTCTATTTATTAGTATGTATCGTGCTACAAACTGAAATTCCAGTAAGATGACTATAACTCTAGAGGGAAGGTCTATAAATCCTTATACTTCTGAGATTTTTCATGTCTCATTGGAGTTTACCTTATGCACAGAGTTCGAACTCAAAAACGGTTAATCAGTTTGGGTACTTCCCTCGTAAGATTTGGAGACAAAATGCACATTTTGCTCATGACTTGAAAAATTCATAACTTCTGCTAGAAGGTACTTGACGACGAACTAACTCAGGATATATCACTCCTAACTGTGCCCTATCTAACCATCATATCCTCGGCCGAAAAGGTTTTTAGCACCTCGGGTAGTTCCCTCGTGAGATCAACATTATTTTCTGGCTTTAAAAATTCTCAAAAATCTTCTTCCAAATCTTCCAAATCTTCCAAATCATTTTGGTTCATTGAGAAACCCTTGTAATTAAAAAAAAAGAAGACACAATAGAAGATCATCGGCGAAAACTTTATACGCTTAGATATAATAGATGATTTAGAGTTTTCTATTGTCTGGAGAGATTTAATTCAATAGGGTTAATCTCTTAATAATAAATTAATCTGTTCTAATGAACAAAAGAAGATAGAGCTTTTCAAAATCTTGTTTTTATTATTAAAATAAATAGTGTCTGCTTTTCGGTGAATACAGTGAACCGAAAAAGTTGCTCTCTATATTTATTGTCTGATTACTTGATCGAATATTATCAAAAATAATGATCATTGGAAAAGAATGACTTCTCAAAAAATAATTTGATTTTTCTTTTTAGTTTCACAAGAAGATCAGCAAATCCTTATCGGTATTATTATTATTATTATTATTATTATTATTCTTTATGCAACATCATTGATATCGATTCGACGTTTATTAGGGTATACCATTACCTGCAAATACTTTCTGACCAAATAAAAAGCAAATTTCATTTATGTTTTAAGTATAAATATGACTAGTGTCGTTCATTTTGAAAAAGTCCTATTACGCAAAATAAAATAAAGTTTCAAACTCTTACACAAATTTATATTAATAACAAAACGATAACTATTAAATTGTTGACATCTTTTCATAATCAATTAACAGTATTTATGATATATTTTTGGGAAAATTTTTGCGTTTCAAAAACAAAGACCTCGTATTGATTTGAATACTTATAGAAACCAGGACGTTTATTCAAATATAGTTAAGATATTTTGTACATACGTTGCTGAGAGAGAACGGTGTTAAGATTTAGAAAATTAAATAGGTAGAGAATCAGCTTCGGGATTAAGAAATTCTCATCTGAAATCGAGCATATACGATCATCAAAAGTTTCAAAAACTAAAAAATAAACGAGCAGTTTACAGAAAGCTAAGAATGAATTTTTTTTAGTTTTCATGATGCATCAAATCTAACTTTACTTATCGTTATAGGTTAGAACAGAGCGATAATGGTAACAAAAATCAATTGGCAGTAGCCGAGACAACCAATGAACGACAACTTAGTGAAGTGATTTTAAAAAAACTCAGGTAACTACTTTTGGGAAATAATGCAGTACCAGGACAATTCATCACAGGGCTGTTGGTTGTATGTAGAACCTATCGGATCGAAAAATTCTGAACCAGGACATGGTTTATTGAACATTTTTGGAATCCAGATCCTGTCGAACCGTACTTTCATATTGTCAATGAAATTTTCTAATCGGAATTGGACAGTCGTCCCGAAGATATGAGATAGTCTTTTCTAGTTTCTTGTATTCAGTGACTAGCGCACCATACACATTTCTCAGACGACTAGAGTTCATCAGATCCAAAAGTTTTGAATCCGATTCTAAACCCGGCCGGGCTCGGGACTAGCCGGACGAGCTCTAGTCGCATGGCATATTAGCCTTAAAGTATCCTTAAGGAGCATTCAGGGTGGATGAATGAGATTGGACATGGGTGTAAGCGTGTTGGTAAGGATATACAAAAGATCTTTATTCACACCGACACTCACACATCCGCTATGAATTACCCGATCACAAATAATTCATTTCATTCTATAATAGTTTTTGTTTTAATCATATTTATAATTCGAAATTTTCATTTTTCAAGAGGTCCACATGAATTATTAAATCCAATTAAACGTAATCTTGTTCGTAGTATTTGGGTTGGTCTTTTAAGTACATGCTTTTTATCAGTCTTATTTATTACAATAACATTACGATATTATAAATTATTTGAAATTGATAAAATTAATGATAAAACATTAGGAAGTCTACTTAATCATACAACTCATTTAATAGAAGAATGCGAAAGTACATTAGATTATCGAATAGAAAATTTAAAATTTTTTCCTTTTGCATTGTCTTTAATATTTATTTTTTCGTGGTCAATTAAACGAGACAAACAATGTTTAAAGACATGTAATGGTCGGCCTGGTAAAATATAGATTTGAGATTTTTTTTTCTCTGTCGATGAAATTTTTCTTTAGGTTTATTATCACCAATTGAACCATTTCGTATAGAAAATCGTTTTACAACAGCAACTGTTTTTGGAATTATTGCTTATGGAGCATTAAAAATCTTTGAAGAACTACTTTTTGGTTTACATAAAACATTTAATCATGGTGTACTTTTTGAATTAATTATAAGAATAGCAATTATCGCTGTTGTCGGGTATATTTTCTTTAGAAAGAAGTTAAATTCTTATTCACTTTTTCTTAAATTATCTAGATTTCGATATTATCCGATACTTGCTTCTCTAAAATTACGAAATGTTTTTATTCGTTTTTTCGCTTGTCTATATATACTCTGTGATATTATATATACAATTGTACGAGAAAGTTCATGTATGGGTTTTCTCCCATTAGCAGGAAAATATACAGTTGTTGAAGAAGCAAAACTTCGAATGGTATGTGAATTAATATTTTCTTATAGACAAGAAAACTTATTTAATTTGTGTATAACTATCAAAGAAAAATAATCGTTTTGATAAAAACATTGTAATAATTACTAAGAAATTCTGAATGCATTGAGATCAAAGATCTATGAACTGTTCTTCCTATCAAGCGATAAATTTATGCGTTCATAGATCTAAACAAATAAAGTTTTCAAACTATGTAGTTTATTCTTTTTTTTTTCATTTCGATTCTTGAAAAATCAAATTCATGAACGCATAATTATGTTAGAATTGGTAGTGGTGTAAAAAGCATATGCCTAGACAGGTACCAACACTTAGCCTTTCGATCTTGAAACATACTTATGCATATTTTTACCACTAACAAAGGAACCTGTTCAACTATCTCCTTCCGATTTCAATGATTTTTTGCTCATAGATACCACAGTGTTCTAATAAAAATTCTAAAAGGATTTGAGTTACTATGGATATTTAACTGAGTTATCGAATTTTTAATATGCCTATCTTCTAGAGACCTCAGATTTTTGGAAAACTGACAGTTTCGAATTTTGATTCGAAACTTTGTGCATATAGAGAACTCAATTAGACTGTCTTCCATGAAAATATTAAGAAGTTTTGAACAAAGTCTCTTCGAGATATGATACTTTTAAGATATAAACCCTTTTCATAAATACTGTATACAACGTACATTTTTTAAAAGCTTCATATTTCGGAGGTACTTTGTTCAAAACTTCTGAATTTTGTTTTGAAAGCTAATCTAATTGAATTCTCTATATGTGCAAATTTCAGATCAAAATTCGAAAAATAGGAGCTTTCCGAAAACCTGAGGTTGTAAAAATAGATATTATCATATGAGCAAAAACTCATTGAAATGGGAAGAGAGTAACTGAAGAGATTCTCTCGTAAACGACATAGGTCCACAAGAAATCAGATTTATTCTGATTTATTCTTCGATAGTTACACACCTTCTACAACAGTAAACAGCTATATGCGCAATCTCTGTTGGATTGAAATGTGCAATACAATGTACCTGCTATTGCTAATCGCAGAAAGATCATTTTATTCAATCTATTTTCTGACACAGTGAGAATTCTATTAATCTTCTCTAAAGATGCTAAATCGTTAGAATAAACATCGTTTAATAATAATTACTAACAAATAAAAACATAATTTTAGGAACTTGGTACATGGTTTATTATATATGGTTTAATAAAAAATATTCCACATTTCTTTTTTCTTTCATATATTGGTGCTGAATTATGTGTGCGTTTTTTATATGATTCAATATATGTACCAGTAAAAAAAAAGAAAAGTATTTGGTCAACACCTCATGTACAATTTGATGAATTAGAATTTGCAAAATATTATGTTACAAAATTACTTCGACGTAATTGTCCTTTATATCGAACAAATACTAAACAAAAATCAAAACAACAAAATGTAACTAATCGATCACTTATAAAAAAGTTCTTTGATTCTTTCTATTATTGGGACGAAGATTTTCATTTTACAACAATAGCAACTTGTACTTATACAGTAGCTTTTGTTTTTCTATATTATTTGGCATGTACATTTATTTTTCTGTATCTTTCACGACCAGCAGGAGTTATTCCATTTTTAAGATCTTTTATTGAAAATTCAGCAAATGTTGGTGAGTAGTTTCATTTAAAACTTTTTTTTTACTGAGTCTTGTTTTTGTTTTGATGATATAGAATTAGATGATTCATTCACTTTGAAACATGAAATAATATTAAGCGCTGTTTTAGCAGCAATTTTATACGGATTTCAATTACTTATTGGAATGCAAAATTATAAAAAACATAAGCAACAATTATATAAAGGTATATATATTGACGTTCCATCAACAAGGAATATGGAATGGAGCTCAATCGTATCGAAATCTGTACATTATTCTGGTTTTCTTGTTGGATATATGGCATGGGGTTTTGTTATTTGTTTTCATTTAATACTTTTAATATTGATTGGAATAAGAATTCTTTCATTACGAATTCGTCAAATTGAATTAGTACTTACCATTATTGTACCTATACTTATTATTTATCTAATAAAAATCCTTGGTATGAAATTAGCCGGAAAGTTTGTATTTACAAAAAAGCCAGAAGACATTAATGATATGAAAAATCCCAAAACCTATGCAATATTTATTTATTTCAGTTTTTTTGCTGGTAAACTTGAAAGATAAAAATATTACGAAGTATTTATGTTTTTCTTTTTTGTTTGTTTTTAAAGATTGTTTTCTTGGTATGGCTTCATGTATTATTCGATTGATTAAAGCAACATTTCTTAATGTAGTATTTATGGCTCGACTTGATTATAGCTTTCTTGGACGACCATTGGAGAAATTCGGTAAATTATTCAACTAAATTGTTCTAGAGAGAGAGAGAGAGAGAGAGATTTTTCATTTAATATGAAGCTATGTATTGATACATCTCGAGTACCTGTAAAAACTATGAACACTCATGAATCAGAGATGAAACCGGTACCGATTACTGATCGGTTCGGTCTACTCAGGTCAATATTAGTTGTAAAAAATCCTGACTGGTTCCATCCCTGCTCATGGTTGCTTTGATTTTTTACTTATAGAAAATGTTTTACAATTAAACATCTAACGAAAAAAAATGACTATTAGACTAAACTATATAGACTATTATGAAAGCGATAATCGAAGAAAAAAATGCTAATACCAAACGTTGTGCCTGCATCAACTGCAGCAGATGAATGAAGAAGAAGATTCACAACACTCATCATTGCATGCAACATTAGCAAAAATGGATCAAAATTTTTTGACAAATAGAAAAGAACCTCAATGATAGTCTATATATCTGCTTGCATGCCAAGCATATTTTAACATTCTTTTCATCATTCGTATACGAAAAAGATTACTTTATATTTAACTCAAAATATAAGCACTGTGATAGGTATCGGAATCTAACGAAAAATAAATATATCATTGTAGAAAACTACAAGTATCAAGCATTCAAAATTGTATAAGTACTCAATATTCTAAAATCTTCAACTGTATATCTTGTAATTCAAAAAGTACCATAATAATTGATATTTAGAATCACATTAACATTTTCTAAGATCTTTTGTGCTCACACTGTCTTCCATATGAGTACATTCTTATATGTAAGAAAAATCTCATTTTGTTTCAACTTATATTGCTTGAGACAGTGGTTTTTCTCTGATAAGATGACTCTTATAGCTGTAATAGAAAAAACATTCGATGTCCTCTAAAACAAGTCATAAACACTAAATCCGGAGTCAAAAACAGTCCAACACTTGGAAATGTTCCCTAGTAAAGTAACCGTGGGTGTCCATAATTTTTACAAGTATCCAAAAATTATCTTTAGCTACTCATGGGGTATTCACAGCTTTTACCTGTAGCAACATACTAACTGTTAGACAGATTTTATTGCGCAATCTATAGATAAGAACGCCAAAACAATTGAGACAAAAGTAAAAAGATTCATATGATATTTCGTATCGAAGATCAATTTTCAAAATTTTTTTAAATAAAACATTTTAGATAAAATAAAACAAATTTAATTGAGTGATAGAGTTAATACATGTAATACAATACAGTCAATCATTAAAAGGCAAACTAACCTTTCATATAGATACTCTCATTTTTTTTTCTACAATAAATAAATTTTGTTTCAAATTTATAGACTAGATAAAATTTGAGTCAATTAATCTTTCTACTTTCTTATATCATATTTCAGATGCTGGTTTTGCTGCTTATGTCTCATATTTACATGTTGAAAAACATTATTCAAATCCACTCATGCTTGGTTAGTCTATATTTCAGAAGAAGAACGAACAAATTTATTTTCTATTTTAATTTATTTAGTTTTTTCTGATTTACTTTTAAATCTAACTACTGAACAATCAAGAGAAAATCATAATGAAAAATTTTCTACAAATATAAATGATTCTGATGATGAGAATAGATCTAAAAAACAACGAAAAAATAAATACGATAAATCAAGTAGAAATATTAATCATAATACAACGGACAATCAATCATGTCATTCAATAACAGAAATAAATCTAACAACAAAGTTACAAAATTTATCTACAGTAAAAAAAAAATTTAAAAAAAAGAAACCATTGCTTTTTTTTCTTATTTACTTTTTTTTCTAGATGTCTGGTAGAAATAATCAAACGATTGATAGTAGAAAACGAAAATTACGAAAGTTTGCTATTTCTGATGATGAAATCAATGTAGACAACGATGATAATTCTTCAACACGACTAACTTCATCTACTCTTCAACAACAAGCACAATTATCAAAATCATCTATTAATAGAACTAAAATATTAAATCATGAATATCTTCTACCTAAACAAGATCAATATGATGACGATAATTATGATTATGAAATAACAAATAATAATACTCAAGCTGCAATTGTTAGGCGTCCTCATTCAATTAAGGAATCAATTCCATTAATATCCATTCATTCAAATAGACAATTATCAGAACGAATACAAACAAAACAAAGCACTACAACTGAAAATGAAGAAAAAAAGAGAAGAATAAAACGAAAAATCGCACGTTTTCGATGGTTTCTTGCTTATACAATTATTCATAATTTTCATATATTTGATCTAAAAAAATGCCTAAAAAATTCATTGACATTTATATATTCACAACAAAATCAACCGGTCGATGAACAATTACCCAGCCTAATAGCTACTGATCAAAACCAAGAACCTACAATTGCGTCACTATCTGAGCCATTAAAAATGCAGCGATTAAAGTAAGCTATCACATTCTATTTGAAACTTCTTAATAGAAAATTTATTTATCAGATTCAAAAAACTATCTTTAGTTTAATTGTATCGTGTCATAATTTCACAATTGAATACCAACTTTACAATGAAGGAAAAAAAATTAGCACGTTTTTTTTTTGTATTTAGCCAGTTTTTCTTCATTATCCAACGATAACTGAAAGCTTTTTTTATAGTCTGCTCTGAGAACTATCGAAATCACTATTTGAATCTCTTGCATAAGTTGTTCTTGAGGAAAAATCTAAACGAATAAAAAGTGTGCTAAACTTTTTTTCTCCATTTTATATTGATTTGTTTTTCAGAGGAAATACATGTAAGCCACAATCTCCTACAATTGATCGTTTATTATCTGTGCCTAGCATCGATGAATATCCATCATTAAGTCCAGCTGAACTATATATTACATCTTTGAAGCAACAGTTACTGATTGTTTATAGTCAAAATGCAACTTCACCGAAAAATACAGATGAATTACAACAAGAGAATATCGACTCACCACTATTTCGATCTGTACCTATCTCAAATGAATCGACAAATGATTATCCACCAGGAACTCCTTCGAACATAAATTCATCAAGATTTCTTCAACTATTGAGTCATAATCAACATATGCAAGCTTGGTATGAAGATGAAATAAAAAAATTTCAAAAAAAACGGCCACATTGTTACTTTTATGTTTTGCCATTTAACTATTATGAGCAAAAAGATTTTCAACGAAATGCATTATTAGATCAAAGAATTTTTGCTTCACAAATGAAGAATGATAACACTAAACAGAAAGTCATCAACATCACTAATGTTACTTCCGAGCACAACAATTGAAAGACATATAAGTACCTTTTTCAATTAGAAATGATAAACAATCATATGCAACAAAAAACTATTAACAAATAACTTATTTAAATGAACTTATTAATAATAACCATAACATTAATCTAGAAGAACATTGAACATTATAGATATTTTTAAAGTTTATTTTGATATCGGAGCTATTTTTTTAATGGTATGCATCTTAATACTCATGATCTTTTATTTTTCATATATATTTTTCTATGAAAAAACTCGAATGAAAAAAAAATAAAGAAATTAATGAGCCTTATTCATGATTAGCTTGTTGCCCACGAACATACATAAAAAGTGACCACATACTAGCTCATGTGTTGCTAAAAGCGGTCTCTTTTCTTTCATCTATCTTTCTCTTGTCTTCAACCACTTTGTTGGCATATGGTGATATATTGATTAAAAAAGAGAGAAAGATAGATGAAAGAAAAGAGACCGCTTTTAACAACACATGTGTTAGCATGTAGCCACTTTTAATGTATGTTTGTGGCCGATCAACGAATCGTGAATAACGTTCATTAGAATCAGCATATTGTTTTTCAATGAATCGACTTAAAGAGACAATCATGAATAAGATGTGCTTTTGTTTAACGAAAACTGCTTATTTACTTAAAATTTATAATGAAATATCTGTTAATTACTTCAATATTGCCTAGTGGCAATTACTTTATAATTGTTCCACAGTGACACTTTGAATTCATTCATAATTAAATAAATTGTCCTAAATTGATGGTACATTAGCGTTACATAATAAGAGTACATGCTTTAATTGATTTTTATCATCGACAACTTTTATTCAATTCAACAAGAGTCCATCAAGAATTATTCAACGAGAACATAGTGAATAAATTTTCATTCATTCGCCTTTCTATAACCAGGTATGTTCAGAGTGGAGTTCTAGCGTTTTATCGTTATTTTTGGTTAGCAATTCTCTACAAAAAGAATCGTTCAGCTCACTTTAAAATTCAGTCAACTGTAACAAAAATCTTCCAATCGATCAACATTAAACATATTCAATTCAAATTAAAGATCTCATCGGTAAACTGACAAAGCCTAAAATATGAACTAATTATGATATCATTGGATTGAAGTATTCGAATTTTAAGAGATATACAGTGTACAGTATATTGTTAACAATTTTATTTTTGTCTTTTCGTTATCGTTGGACAAAACTCATTGAGTTAATTAAGAAAAATTATGTTTCCACAAATCGAAAAAGAAATTTTACGAAAGTCAGGATTTCGGATCTACGTTTCTTTCTCAATTAGGAGTGTCAGATTAGAATTAGCATGAGCCTTAAGTAATACTAATACTAATGCATAAACATTATTGGTATTAGAATTATTTAATGCTTAGGTCTTAGCATTAATTTAGCATTATTTTGAATTCTAATATATATACTGCATGTAAGTTCTGGGCTGTTACCGTGGTATATTATCTTTAATTTTTCAAGGACTACTAGGAAGTAGTCCGTGTAGCTTTTCAAAGACTACCAGAGAATGTTCTTTGTAACCTTTCAAATACCACTAGGGGGTATTCTTTATAACTTTTTAAGAGCTAGCTAGAGATACTCTTTGTTACTTTTTAAGGACTATCTGGAGGTACTATTTGTGACTTTTTAGTTGTTATATTGACATTATAGTATAGTATTTTTTTGAAAACCACTCAAGTATAATGCATAATAATATTTTATAATGGACTGATATTCTTGGAATAACGTGTTTACTGATTTGAGTCATGAAAATTTTCGGACATGTTATCTTAAATACTTTATTAGTGTTTTAATGTAAATATGTATGCTTTTCCAACTATGTAAGAAAGTATATGAATGCATAAGATGGAAGTACTGCAAAAATGAGAGGAGATTTTATTTTTACCTCAAACAGACATCACTAGTTGCATTTGTACACTTTAATTACGAATATTTGATTATGTTTTGATTGGATGAAGTCGAAAAGAGACAAATGCGAAGTATTCAGAGGATGTCAAAATCTGTAGAAAAACTTTAGAGAAAAGAAACCAGAAGTTCTTCACTGTTCTAGTTTTATTTACAGGGATTCTTTGTATAGAGTTGACTCTAGAAATTTGTCTCGAGATTCGTCGCATATTATATACAGATTCTACGAATCCATGTGCTTTAGTTTAACCGATTGTACCCGCTGATTTTCAACAAAGTTAACGTATTGTTGCTCTAATGAGACAATATCTTCATTTGTGTATAATTCGAATTACCTCTGTATGGGTACACAAGTATCAATCATCCTTTTTAATTTTTTCTAAGTGTGACGTGAAAAAATCGAACTTCTCCTCGTTACTCTAAATTTTCTCTATCAGAATTATACTTCTTTGTGATAAAAATATCATATTCATAATCCTAATTAAACAATCATCGTATACATATGCATTCGTAATTTCTCGAAATATCTAGTTTTTTATTCGAATGTTTATGTTGAAAAGTCAAAGAATTACTATGTACGAAAATCTAGATTTTCATCATAAATCTGGAAATGAACTAAAAATTTCGTAAAAGATACCTGAATCCGTTTGCTTTTTATGCTGACTCTGATTATGATATTTTCATCACAAAGACGCGTAGTTCCGATAGAGCAAATTTAGAACAACGAGAAGAAGTTCGATTTTTTCATGTCACATTTAGAAAAACTAAATTTTCTCGACAGTGGAAAAGAATTGAAAACAGAATTTCACACTTCTTTAGTGACTAAAAAGGTGATTTGGATGACATACAAAAGAAGATATTGTCTCATTAGTACAATAATACGTAAACTTATCTGAAAATCAGTTGGGAGAATTGGTTACACTAAAGTTCATGAGTTTTTAGATTCTATACATAATATGTGATAGATCTCGAGGCGATAGTGTTACAGTCATCTCTGTACAAGGAATCCCTATAAATCAAACTAGTGAGATCGAAAACTGAAACAGTGAAGAATTGTTGGTTCCTTTTCTTTAAGGTTTTTTGTGAAACATGATCTACAAGATGTTTTGAAGTATATAAGGTAGAAATTTGCATCTTTCCTCCACAGACCGTGCCAGATGAGCTTCAAAGACTATCACAGACTGTGACAAACCGTTAGAGGTGCTCCCCCTTTACAGGCCGTAACAGGCGAGCTGCAGAGATCATCACCGATGTTGTTGATATAAAGTCCATGTATCACTAACATCTCATTAGAACATATATGAACTATCTTTTATTAGAGTTCTAAAGAATTAAGCAAAGCAAGATGAAGAGATGTGTCACAAAATAGATCAAGTCAATTAGTTTTCTATGGTTAATAACAATAGCCATATCGTGCTTCACATTCTAGTCTTACAGAAAATGCGCAAACAGTTTTTTTTTTACAGATTTTGACATCCTCTAAATACTTCACATTTGTCTCTTTTTGACTTCATCCAATCAAAACATAATCAAATATTCGTAATTAAAGTGTACAAATGTAACTAGCGATGTCTGATTGCGGTAAAATAAAATCTTCTCTAATTTTGCAGTACTTCCATTCTATATATTCATATACTTTCCTGCATAGTTGAGACAGCATACATATTTACATTAAAACATTAATAAAATATTTTAGATGATATATCTGAATCTTTTCATCACTCAAATCAGTAAACACGTTATTTCAAGAATATCAGTCCGTCATAAAATATTATGCGTTATACTTGAGTGGTTCTCAAAAGAATACTACTATAATACCAATATAGCAGCTACAAAGTCACAAATATTACCTTCAGATAGTCCTTGAAAAGTTATAAAGAGTACTTCTTAGCAGCCCTTGAAAAATTAAAGATAGTATATCAAGGTAACAGTCCAGAACTTACATGTAGTATATATATATATTAGAATTAAAAATAATTCTAAATTAATGCTAACACTTAAGCATTAAATAATTCTAATGTGAATAATATTTAAGTAGTAGACTTACTAGGCGATGTTAATGAGCATTATTTTAATAGTAATGCTACTGCAACATCCATATTCTTAATATTTGAAAATAAAAGTGTCATAGATTTTTCTCTTTAAATGTTTCGTTTGTATTAGAAACATAATTTATCTTACGTAACTCAATGAGCTCTATCCAGCTATGATGAAAAAAGAAAAATGAATCATGCTGAAAGTTTGAGTGGTTGGCACATTGCTAATACCTTGAAATTCGAAAATTTCAATCCGTACTCGTCATAAGCAGCTTATATTTCAAACTTTATTAGTTTATCGGTGAGAACTTAAATTTGGCACGAGTATCTTTGATATTCTTAAGTTACAATATATACGATTGTATTGTAGGATTTCACATTCAAGCATTTGTTTTTCTATTATTTGCGTTAATATGAATTAGGATGGATTGTTTTGAAGAATAAATGTAAATCATACGTTACATGTCGATATCAAGAAGTTCTCTGATTTTTTTTCCTATATATTAGACTCATTTCATGAAGATTTTATCAACTAAATTTCTTTCTTGATAAATGAAAACTTTATTTAAAAAATTTATTTCTCTTTTCAGCAGACGTGGAACTGGTCTGGATTTTTGACGATCGGTACCGATTCGATCTCTGCACTCACCACTATTCAATTTATTCTTTAAAGTTTGTTCATAAAAAAGAGGTAAATCCTACTATGATCGAACATTAAAATGTCAAAAAATAAGATATCGATTGATAAAAATGTCGAAAGATGAATATGCTGACTTATTCAAATATCTAAACAATACAAATTATTTGTAAGTTGATGAGAAAAGATTCAGTATGTTTATTTCATTGATAGAATTTTTATTCATAAAAAAAGAAAATTTTAACGAAGAGCAAAGTGAAAAACAGGAAGAACTTTAATGAACAACTTTACTTGAATCATACATTTGTTCTATATCTATTTGTTTTTTTTCGCTCCAACAACCAATGACAAGTCAGAAAGACGATCTGATGAGCTGATGACACTATCAATTATATCGATCATCAAGAGTATTGCTGCGATTTTGTATGAATGTTGTCCGTGAGTTTTTTTTTCTTTGATGCACTAGCACACTATTGAATAACAACTGTCTGAAGTTGTTTTTCTTCTACTTTCACGGCGAGCGTGGATGTGGATTTCAGTGTGCGTTTCTACTCATGAATTATACTCACACCGTTTATTTTTGATATTTTCTTTGATTTGAGATATTAACACCTCGGCATTTTTACTAGTGACATCTTTACTTGCGACATTTTTACCTTTCGACATCAATAGGGTGAATCAGTTATTACCCAATATAAAAACGGGAAAACAATTTCAGAAATCTCAAATAATTAATCTTTTAGTTTGCTGACTTCGTCTTCTTCTAGCTGATTTGTGTGCATTAATCGAGCCATTTTGATTAAATCGCTATATGTAATAATGAACTGTAATACGATGCACCTTATTAGCTAATATACTTGAGATTTCTGAAGCTTTTTTTTCGTTTTTATAATGGGCAATACGATATCACAAAGTTCTACTTTCTTCATCTAAAAATTTAATTAGTACAATTCAATGATTCGTTCAATATGAAAGCAGTAGGGGTTTCACGAAGCATGTAAAAAAAAATAATCTAAGGTTTCATTATTTGTTTTTGCCGACATATATGCGCAATATTCAATGTTATTTTCATTTTTAACCTAATAAAAAAAATCATCATTGTGACTTACTTAGTATATTATCTTGACATATTTAATCCAGATATAATCATTGAAATGATTATTGATTTGCTAACATTAGATTTTCTTGATTTCATATTATAAAAAAAAAATTTTTATTCATCGTAGTTCAAACTATACGAATAAGTCTAATTATTTGATCATTTTCTTCTTTTGTTATTCTCATTTTATCAATTGTTTTATGCAATAATATTACATAACTATCTTTTTAAAATCTCGATCCATTAATCGATCATCAAGAATAGAGTGATTGTGCTAATGGCAAAAGCATTGTCAATGACTAGCATAAACTGTGATAGGTTTTTTCTTCGTTTCTGTCACCTTGTCTTGAAAAATTTTGTTGAGTAATATTAGATCGTAATTTATAATATATCATTATATGTTTATGAATATATTTATATTGAAAATATAAATATCATATATTGTTGAATTGTTATATTTAGTAATTGTAGAGTATTGATTGATCAGTGATTTTTCTCAGACAAAAGTTAATCTACATTATGATTATTCATGTTACTGTCTTTTTCTCATCGAGTGCCATACAAATTCTTCTATTAAATAAACACGGTTGATCTACATAGCACAAGCGGTCAGAAGAACATGAAGTGGCATGCGTATAGATATATATTTGTATATGTAATAGGGTTAGTTTTAGGCGGATGTACCTGTACATATATAGAAAGAGGGAAAGAAAAGGAAAAGCAAGAGAGATGATGAACTTGTAACTGTGAACAATATTTGTCTATTGTCAAAATGCTCATGTACTATGTACTATTCCCTTTCTCTTCAGGACATAGGAAGCAAAAATGCTCAAATTTTTCTATTATTTTTTTCTTTCTTTCTTTCTTGCGTTCTTAGTTCATATGAATATTAACGATGTATACTCAGATTTTTTTGTTTCTTTTTTTTTCTTCTTTTCTTTCCTTCTTTCTTTCTTCTTCTTTTTTTTCTTTCTACTAAATCATACTGTCGACACAATCCTGTTACTATTGCATAGTACAAACTCAGCCATTGCTGGTTGTAAATTTACTATCTAGATTCATGTTTTTTTGTTTTGTATACAAATAAAACTAGGTCGACTTGAACGTCAAGATATTCATTCATTGTTTAAAACTTCTTTTATTTACCTGTGTTATTATCAATTACGACGTAAAAAAAAACTGACAATCAACAACAATTATCGAACGCATGTCGTTTAAGATTTTTTTTCTTACATGTTTATTGTCAATTAACTTTTTTATACAATCAGCAACATGCGTTCTATCAAACAATGTACAAAATCTTGAATTTGATGATATTACATCACTATGGGATAAATTTCCATCCATTATTGATAAAATCAAAGAGACTGGTATGTTATTGTCTTATAATAAAAAATGAAGGCCTTAAAATATGAAGGGCATCGTAAAACTAATATTTGATATCTTTTAAAGCCTATGAAATTTACTTTGCATTCGATCAAATCTCATTATGTCTTAATGATTGAGTATGTGTGTACATGATGATATACATTACAAGAGATCATATTCCTAGTCATGTAGGAGACTGCGACGTCAATTGTACATAGAACAGTATAAAATTAACATATCTGTCAATGAGATTATTGTTTTTTTTTTAATTTTGATATCATATTAACACTCTTTTATAAAGATTAATTTAGATTTTGAACTTTACTTGAATTTCTATGGTCCAAAAACAATTTTTCGTAAAAAAAAATAATATTTGTCTTTCTTAAATAGTTCAATATTTAACGAGTCCTATTATTTACCACTATTTTGATACATGTCAATTAATATAATTGTTTATCTTAATTTAATTTATCTGTATTATGGATTGTTTCATTTTTTCCTTTATCAAAAAGGACCATCACTTGTCAAAAAGAAATATTTTTTGTAAAATAATATACAGCTACTAAATGATTTAAGTATAACTAATTGATTTGTAACGTTTATCTCATTTCTTTATGTAATTAACTATTTAAATATTATCATAGCTATTTAAGAGATTTGATAACTATTCAAGACAAAAAAAAGTTTACAGATTTTACAATGATTTAAATATCTGATTCATTCCTTTTGTTTGTGTTAATATGCATTTTAAATTTTTTGTAATGGCTGACTATTGGTTTTTTTTTTACTGACATTAGATGTCTCTTAGATTTTTTCATTGTATCACGATTGAAACTCTTCAAGATAAATTTTACTACTTTATACTTGAATATCTATTGTTGATGAACAGAAGTGTACATTTTCTAAAAGAAAGTTACCAGTCACTTCAGAATTTAATCATTGTTATTGAAAGATAAAACAATAGTAAATATGCTACATACAATATATATTCATTTTTTCTGTTCTTTTAATATTTTCATTTCATATTATTCAATTCTAATTAAGGCATCATTTTGGACACATTTCTAGACTTATCTTCTTCCGACACAATTTAGGCATTCAATATGTAATTTCAGTAGTTCTCGATTCCCTAGTAAACTTTCACTAGAAGAATCCTCCGGAGAATTTGCATGGAATTAACTATGGACGTATTACGCATTCATCAAGAATCTACGATGAGAATTATGATCACTGTTAATGGTCATATATTATTATGGCATCCATATGTACCGTTCGTCAGTGCGAGAGTGATGATTTTCTTTTTCATTATTTCTTTTGTAAATATAAAAATCTAATTTAGTTTTTTTTTTAAATAATATTTACTTTTGCAGTTATCCTTGAGATTAACCTAAACAAAAATTATATTTCATTTTTTTTTAAATGTAGGCTACCGTTATAATTCTTGTCGCTATTTGTTTAGACAAAAAAAAAAGTATCACTGTTTTTTAAAATAATATTTACAGTCATCATTGCTCTTGAGATTAATGTACATTAAAAAAAAATACATTTCATTTTTTGAAATAGCACTTACTATTGCTGTTGTTGTTGCTTTTAAAACGAAATTAAAAATAAAAGTATAGAATTGATGTTTTTAAAAAAATATTTACTATTATAGTTGTGTTTGAGATGAATGTTAATGAAAAACAAGATAAATTACGTTTTAAAATAATATTTATCTTCAATTTGTTATTGAATTCAATCTAAATAAGTTGATTTTCTTACATTGATATTTACAATTGTAATTGTTCGTCCGATAGATTTAAATAAAAAGAATAAAATTTATATCTTAAAATAATGCTTGTCATCGAAGTTGTTGGCGAAATTCTTAACAATAAAAAAAAGAATTAAATCTTTTGAATTAATACTTGCTGTTGAAGTTGTAGTTACGATTGACCTAAATAAATAAGATATAATCTTCATTCTAAATTTTTAGTTTAAAACTTAAATCGTCTACTAGTTATTCTTTAATTCGTATATTGTCTTTGTAACAACCCAGTGTTCCTACAATCAATTATTTGGTCCTACTTCTCATTTATGAACAGATATTATTTAGAATATATTTCAAATATTTATGTGCTTTTTTCAGTAAGATCACAAGATAAATAACTCTCTAAGGAGACCCTTCACAGGGATTGCTCAGGAAATCACCGATGAGTTTGCAAATGAGAGTCGACTAGGGTTCATATAAAAGAACAATTCCATGATATTATTCTTTCTTATTCAATCACGTATACCTAATCTTTTCTTTCCTTGCTCAAAAAATTACCATCACAATATATAAGGGCTAAGTGATATTTAAATCGTTATGAATATTTATAAAATAGTTCTTGAGATTAAATATCTCATCGCTTAGAGATATGGACAACAAATAAGTAGCTGAATGTGTATTAAAAGTAAGCATAACACTATAAAATTCTCTTACACATCTCTGTTCGCTACCTAGGTCGAAAAAAACCGGTGTCATTAACGGTTGTAAACGATATTAACTGTCGTCTTTACGTCGTCATTTTCCGTAAGCTTTTCAAATGGTGACTGCTTGCTAGCGAAAAAGTAGGCTGTCGGACTACAGTGAAAACTAGTATATTAATACGCTGTTTTCGAGGGTCGGAATAATCGTCCTGAGTATATTTATTGATTTTTTTATACAATAATTGTATCTCTTTTAAAAATCTAAGGCATCTAGATCACAGCACCGACAATTAATCATCATTATTAATGTTTGAGAACTAAAAAAATTTTATATTATGTATTAAAATATATTATAATTTTTATTTATATTTATCTTTTAGTTAATCGATTTCGTTGTCCAAAAGGATGGAAACGTTTAGGTGGTTCATGTTATTATCTTTCTAATTTAACATCAATATCTAGTGCTGCTAATCATACATGTAATTATCTTCATTCTAATCTTTCAAATCTCATACAAATACGAAATGCAGTTGAACTATTCTATACTGCTCATGTTTTAACAAGAAATGATTTATCATCATTAATGATTTCTATTGATCCAAATTTCCTTAAAGGTAAGAGATGAAAATAAAATTTAAAATAAAAAAACAAATATGACTAAATTTCTTTTACAGGTAAAAAAATTGCAGAAACATTAATGAATGATCAAGGTCGATGGAATAGAATGAAATCCAAATTTCATGAAGTACGTGTTAAATATCGAAATTTAAAACAAAAAATTGTCGATCGATTAAGTTCAACTGGTTTACGTATATTAACACGTTCGAAAAAAATGAAACAAATACCATCTAAACAATCTTTGATTCATGATGAAAAACAATTCAATAAAAAACAATCAAATATAACAAATATTATTTTTTCAAATGAAACAACAATTAATATTGATTTAGTTACCTCCACTAATGATAATGCTGATGATGAAGAATATGAATATGATGATCTTGATTCATCAGATGAAAGTGATGAATTTGAACAAATTGAAGATATTCGTGGTATTTGTGATCAAATTGCTTGGAATGCTTTAGATAATAATTCAACTGTTTATATTCTAACAACATATATTGTATCAGATAAAATTGTTTGTTCATTAAGTGATGTTGAACCTGATATTGAATATCATCATATTTGTGAATATGGTTTGTAA